GGAGGTCTGTATGGGAGAATCTTGACCGAGGTTGCGAGAACAGACCGAACGCAGTGACGGTCTGTGCACATGACCGAGGTCAAGATTCTCCCATACAGACCGACTAAACTCGTTTTTAAAATAAGATGTTTATTATATGGCAAACAAGAAAATTTAATTCTTTTATTAATGTAACTCGTACTGGTTTGTACTAACTGACCTTTTGCTAGCCTGCGAACAGGCTCCCGGTTGGTTTTAGAGCGGGCCAGCCGAGTGTAGTCTAGGGCGAACGGGACGAGCCGAGAGCGGTCTGGTGACGCGGATTCTCGCTCCGACTCCCACTCTCGTTCGCCGAATTTTTTATCTGCCCTCGCTGGGAGCCTGTTCGCAGGCTGACCTTTTGCTTGCGAACGGCAGTGAGCTGAACTTAACTCTGCCAAAGTTTGCTCGTGCTCTTTATTTTTTTCTCTCGTCAGGCTTTCAACACTTCCATAATATAAATATTACTAAAAGAAAATAGTCAATGAGTTTGTATTTCAGTTTGCAACTTTTCCACCTCAAAATGTAACCGATCTGGATGGGAAAATTTAGACCGCGCTCAATATCGATTTCAGCCAATCAAATTTGTGAATTCGGTAGTTCCCGGTCCTTGTGAGAACCAACCATTTAATAGCTGGTCTTGATATTACACTTATAGTGCTTTCCATTGTGTAAAAAATTTCGGAAAATTCGCTGGGAAATCAAATCGAATGGTTAAGACTGGCAGGAAATTTTCCGGAAAAAAGGAGTATCTTAGAATAATGTGAATTAATTTAAAAAGTAAAATTGCTTGTCAGAGAGTGTGTCGGGAATTGTTTTCTTTTACTTTTCCAAAAACTGAGTCGGTCTGGCGATTGGAAAGGAACTTAATATGGGGATGACAATCCTACGTAGGAGAAAAGATGGCGACTGGTACCTTTACTCAGAGTTCTTAGTGCAAGAAAACTCTAACAACGCTCTTAAAAACGTACAGAAAAGTTCTAAAGCCTTCAAACCTAATATGCCCAATGTGGTTAGCACAGGAACAAGTATTGCAAAATATGGCTTTCCTTGTACTTTATGGGCTGTTCAAGGTTCGCATGGTATTGTGGTAAAATGTACAGCCGCCATCTTTTTTCCTATGGAGGATTGGAAAGCACCTTTTTTTATCATTTTTCTCGACTCTTTTTTGCCGCTTTCTCAAAATAATGCAAAACATCTCGGAATATGCTCGGAACTGTTCTTTACGACAACTACCTTTCTCTATGCATCTGCAGCCACACACAGTCTAGAAATCATTACATTCATCCATTCCTCATGCGATCAGGACAAAGTTTTCGTGAATATTCTATGCGTCAATTTACCATGATAAACTGTAGTTGATCGATTGCCTTCAAGTTCAGTATTTAAGTTACTTGTGGAATGCTTAAACTGGCATTTATGTCGAGCAAGCAAAGTATTGTTGCTTTCGTTATTTTTGTGCATTTATTTGGGGCGCGGGGATTTAACATCCAATCTCTCCTCCACCGAAAATTGAACAAGACTGGAGACGAGTATTTAGCCTCGTTTTGAAGGGTTTTTTTTCCCCAAATAAACCCGGAAGTTAATGTCTTAGTATTCTTGGAGAGGTCTTTTATATTCGCTCATCTACCATAAAGCCAAGGGAAGCTATTTTTTTCCAGTATGCAAAAAGTAAAACCAACGAGGAAAACAAGACAAGCAGCTCAGGAACTCGGACAAGAGTTTTCGAAGCCATGGAACCAGAGCGATGTGGTCTTGATCGTGGAAGGACAACATTTCCACGTTCATCGTGTCATCTTGGCGATGTTCTCGCCTGTTTTCTCCCGAATGTTTTCTTCTGATTTCAAAGAGAAAGACGCAGACGAGATTCCTTTACCCGAGAAGAAGGCCGCTGTGATAAGGGAGATGCTGATGGTCATCTATCCAATATTCAACAAACCTGTGAACGACACCAACTTGGATTTCTTGCTACCTCTTGCGCGGGAGTACCAGATGACAGTGCTTACACAGAGATGTGAAGATCATCTGCTGCGAGCTGCAGAAGAGGAACACGAAATCGGTCCAATTTTGGGGGCCTTAATTGTCGCTCAGACTTACGCCTTGGAAAGATTGATAGCTCAGTGCATCAACAAAACCCAAAAACTAGCCATCGAGGAGGTACAGCGTCATGAATTATACGAACAAATCGAACCTGCTTCCCAGCGAAAGATGATTGAATTACAAGTGAGTAGCATGCAGGAAGAACTACGCGACGCCAAACAGGAGATTTCAATGCTGCAAAACAAAATCAGAAAAATGGAAGCTTCCGCGTCAAATGGTTTGCAGTCCTTTGAATCACTTGTTGCCACTCTTGGAAAGCACATTCGTCACGCCAAGAAAATCAAGGAAAGCTCCCTTAAATTCCAAATTACAACAGAGCAAAACATGGAAACTATTCGTTCCGACGTCACGGATATGAGGTACATGTACGTAGTCGCATCATTAAATACCTCCCCACGTTCAAAGCGCCTAGAGCGTCCAGAGCGTTCAGAGGTATGTTTAGATTTGTCTCCCGCATACGATGATCTAAAACGCCTTCAAGATAATCTAAAAGCAATAAATAATTCGGATGATCTTGCCCAGCGTAATCCATATGCAAATTATTAGATTTTAATAGTCACCCATTGACAAGATAAAATAAACAGTGGATGTCAGAATCGGGATAAATTTCAATCAATGAGGTGATCTAGTTTTCCAAGAAGACTGGGGTTGTACAAGCAGTCAGGTTACTAAGGCCTTTATACAAAAGTGTAAGTCTAACTTCTTGTCTCCAGTTTTGAATAATTAATTGACTACATGTATGCCAGGAATTTAGTGACTGCTGCTCGCATTCCGCTGCATGTGGACAGTGTAGTATATAACATACAATTTCTTGGATTTAATTTTATATCGGTAGGTTATATTAATACTGCCAATCAGTTGTACTGTATTCCTATTTTAAGCATCATAGTTGCCTACCTACAGTTGTTTAAAATTATAAAAGTAACCTCAAGTTAGCAGAAACAAACAAATTAATGATTAATGTATTAATCATTATCGATGTGCATTATTTAAAATAAATATTTAAGTCCACCCATATCTATAAGTTGTATATATACTATATATTCTGTATTCTGTACTATGTACTATGTACTAGCTACATGTAATTGGTGACTGCAGGTTGTGGAATTTTTTTTTTCTCTACTTCAGTTTGTATTCTTTTACATGTTAAATTTAGCTTTTTGTTTTTATGAATAAAATCGATCTTTTTGTTGTCTGTATTAAAGCAAAATGCACTGCCTAGGTAAGTTGTAAATTTTTGTAATTTTTTCATTTGCTTTACTAAATGGGGCTTGGCAAAATGGTTAGATTGAGAGGTCCCAGTTTAAGTCCCTGGGGGTATCCCTGCGATGGAATAGCACTGAGACCCTGTTAGGGGCAGACCTGCCAACTCTCCCGGTTTTCCCGGGAGTCTCCAAGTTTTTCATCAAATCTCCCGGTCTCCCGGTTAGAGCACCAAATCTCCCGGGAACTACCTACCGTGGCTCTTTTTAATTCTTTTTTCTTTAATTTCTTTATTTTCAAGATTTCAAAAACGAAAATAAAACAAGAAGGGAATTTGTTGCTCTTATTTGAGCTGCTCTCAATCGAAAAACGTAAAACAGAACAATCAAATTGATATATATTTAACGRRTATCCTAACTGGTCAGAAATCAACCAATCAAATTGCACAATACATGGTACAAAATTGGCAAGATTTCTAGCCGTCTCCAGGTTTTTGTACTCTGGGGGTTGGCAGGTATGTAGGGGTAAATTCTGACAAGCGACATGGCCTTGAAACGGCAACACGAGAGCTATGAATTGGCGACGAACGACATACTACTCCAGTGAAATAGGGAAAGCAACACCAATGGCGAGATAGACCGACAACGAATTTCAGAACTGAGAATGCAGTGATTGTTTTAAACGTCCGAGTCGAAGTGAAGATGCATTTCCAAAGTTTTAAATGTGTTTTTCTCCCTCATGCGCGATGTCGATGGGTCGTGAAACCCAGACTTTCTTATATATGCTAAGACATCCAGGTCGAATGAATCGAGTCCGTCATTGCTGAATATTTTTTCTCACTCTCAGCTGAGTGAGTAGTGCCCTAAAACCCCTAAAAACACGCTTAAGGAAAATGGGAGTAGATGTTTGAAAGTTGGCTTCATATTTTTATTAGTGGGCCACCAGTAAAAGAATATGAAGCTGTGTTATCAACTAGGAAATGAGAGACCAGGGGAAAGCTGCCAAGGTCTTCTCATCTTCAGCGTCTAAATTTCAAAATTTCCCAGGGACAGCATGCCCCCACATCCCCTAGGAGGTTAGCAACTTCAGCGCTTGAAAGCATGCCCAAGCCCTTAGAAAGGATGCCCCCAATATGCCCCCA